ACTACTGCCAATTAACAATTTGAGCAACCAATTAACAATTTGATGCCCTTCCTGGATAGTGAGATCAACAACTAACTTATCCACCATCATGGAGCCCTCATCTAGTACCTGTTGGAAACAGAAGCAAACACCCATAAGTAAACACTGAGTCAAACTAGAATCCAGATGCAGAGGGAGAGGACAAGACCAGGTTGCAGAAACACATAGAGACAGCTGACCTGAACAAAGAGGAGCTAACAGCCCCCAGACTGATAGCTGGGAATTCAGCATGGGACTGACTCAGGCCTCCCTGAATATAGATCTCAGCCAGAAGGCCTGAGCAGTCTAAGGGATCTCAGACAGTGAAACCAGGATGTATTACTGGTGCACAAATGGACCTTGTGGACACTTCCCCCATGGAGGGATACTGCCTTAACCTAGAGATAGGAGAGAAGTCCTAGTCCCTACTTCAAATGACTTGACAGATTTACATGATCCCACCTGGATGGCATTGCCCTACATGTGGAATTGGGATGGGGGATGGGAGGGGAGGGTGGTCAGGGTGCATGTGGGGGGGCAGAGAGGGTAAGAGGGAGGGAGGGAGAGGGAACTGGGATCGACATGTAAAATAAAAAATAAAAATAAGTAACAGCCATTTGTATGTGCCTGTGTCCATGTGCATGCTTAGTTAGAGATTTATTTTTGTAAAAAGTACTTTTGAATCATACAACTCGACAATCCATTAGGAAATGTGTTTATGAATCCCAGTTACCCTGTGAATTCTTATCTTGTGAGGATTTTTTGTAGACACTAGGGAAAAAAATCTTTCATGGTCTCATGAGATGAGTAATTTTCACATTACACTTTATGTCATATTTGGCAACATTTACAACACTCAAACTGCAGTGAATTGTAGACGAGAGAGTGATGTGGAAGACTTTCATATAAAGGTGAGATACATTAGTCAAAAATAATATTTCTAATGGAATATTTATCCAAGCCTGTATTTAGGGTAGAATGAGTCACATGTGGAGAAGGAGGGATCATCTGTGCTTTGTATTCACAAGGATGGTGACCTGTTTAGAAGTGCAGAAAGCCTGCTCGTATTTGTGCAGGCTGGTTATTAAGAAAGCTGCTGAACATTAACAGGGTTAGTGCTTTTACCATTTATATTTGACTTGTGGACCCTTGTGCAACATTAGTAGTCAATATAATCCTGGTATAAAATGGAAAAAAGAACTTTGAAGTTTTAATACTCCCTAACATTTCATCCAACAAACTGAACACAACTGCATTTATTAACTCATGCTATTTTGTTCTGAAAGGGCTTTTTTAACCATAAGAATTCATGGTAAATGTGAGTTTTTGAGGCAGGACAAATCAGTGGTTTGGTGGTGTGTTTCTACCAGTGTTGTCTTTGGGATGACTTGTGTTAATGGAAATGTTTTGTAATGTCTCTTAGCCATTTACATGCAGCCGTAAACTGAGTATTCTTCATCCAGTAGTCTTGTGACTTATTAGAAGTGACAAATGAGGGAAATAAATAGATTGTTTTTTGAAGAAAATACATTTGAACTATCACTGTCTTTTGATTTACTCAGATTTGCCTGTTTAGAATATTATCTAATTTTGATTTCCTTTTTATAGTACATTGAAGCAATTTTTAATTGAAACTAGATTCTTCTCTCATATAATACATTCTGACCACACAATCCTTCCTCCCTCCATTCCTTTCAACTTCCCTTCATGACCCTCTCCCCAAGATCTACACCCCCTCCAATTCCCTTCATAAAAGGTCAGGACCCCAAGAAACAATTACCAAATATGACACAACAAGACACAATAAGAAAAGTCAAAAGCCCTCGTTTGGAGGTTGTACAAGACCATGTGATAGACAGAAAAGAGTCTCGAAAGAAGGCGAAAGAGTCAGAGACTCACGGGCTCCTCAACTACTCTCATATGCTTCAGATATGATCTAAAAATCCCTGTCATTAACACTGGGAAAGACCTTACTGTTTGTTTTTCCTCTTTTTATTTTCCTGTGTGCTATTTCTAAAAATTCTTATTTGCATTAAAAACTGAAATATTTCTGTTAATAGTCCCAATGTAGAAGACAAGATCTTATATAGAATCCATTTAAATTTTGATTTAACTATTTTTAAAAAGTAACTCAAGAAGAAATTTTTCTTGGATGTTTTACTTAATCTTTTTAGAAGAAATGTATGTAACTTGGATTTTAGTGAGAATTCTTTTTTAAAGCTTGTACAAAACCTTGATGCAACAGAAACTTCAGAGCCATGTCTTCTGAAAACAGTCTTTCTTCACTTTACCTCCTGTTCCAAACACAACCTGAACATATTTCTTTTATGTTTAAAGTCATCTGTTGCATGTAATGTATGCAGAATATTGATAACAGTATTTTTTTACATAATAGTTTCCAGAAAAACTAATTGTTTCCATTTATTTAATTTCAAGTTGACCTGATATTTCACTACTACTATTTTGTTAAAGGTATTTGTATATTCAAATTTGCCCAACAGCAGCCCCACCACCTACTATGAGTTTGAAAGTCATGGCATGACCTTTGTTTCTAGATCACAGGAGACCATTGGAAATCTCAAATATTTGCATTACAATTCATAACTGTAGCAAATAACAATTACGAACTAGCAACAAAAGTAATTTTATATGTGGGGCTCAACATAATATGAGGAACTGTATTAAAGAGTTGCAGCATTAGGAAGGTTGAGAACCACTGCTTTAGATCATGCTGACTTAAAATATATTCATGTAGTATAAGATATAAGAAAAGACATATGCATTCATAATGAAAGCATGTTCTATATGTTTTGTCATATTATTTTTAATTTGTGTATTTACAGCCATAGTCTTGATCTTTTAATTATTTCTAGCATCAATTCTCCTCAGGAAAAATACATCATTTACTGTTGGGCTTCCTTGATGTTTATTTCCCTTAAATTAAATTTTGCCTTTCCATAATACATCCTATATATAAAAGAATATACTCACACTCCTGTCTTTATAACATGTCACCAGCCCCTACATGTATTACAAGGAGATCTATTATTTCTAGTCATTGAAGTGATTCATAATAAAATGCACCCCAGGGAAGTGCCATCAGAGAGAGAGAGAGGGTTTAGAAGTCTTCAAAGGACATGAAATAGAAATTATTCCCTCAGAGCTATCTGAAACTTGGTATCATTTAGCCACAGAAGAATTTATGTGTTGGGAGTGAGGCTCCATAGCCCAGGAATTGTTAAGCAGGTGCAATTCCCTGGGTTCTACACTTACAGCCAAGAAATAGAAAACAGGTGTCAGGTGTTTCAATCTATTACTCCTTGAGTAATGTAGGCAAACTCATCCAGATAGTTCATTTTCTCTAGGTTGGATCTTATATATGTGAGATATAAAATCCAAATGGAGCTTATTGTAAATAGGTGGTTGGGGTTATTTTTCACTAAAATTAATCAGAAAAAGAATATATCTTGTTATTTTATTTGAGATATTTTCAATTAGTTCTTTGAGTATTTTGTAAAATCAGTTGAGATTTGACTACAGTCACGTCTTTCCTTCTCCTCTCAGATCAATTCCTTCCCTACACATCCAACTTTGGGACTCTTATTTTTTCACCCATCAAGCCTATTTGTGCTGCCTAGGTATTTTAATTCTAACACACTGTACAAGAATAATGTTCATTATCTGGTTTTATGGGTTTGCCAATTAAGCACCAAAAATAAGAAGTGGCGGTAATACTTACAGGCTTGTAACCTTACAATTAAGCTTAAAAGAAACATTTGATTACTCTGTGAGACAAATTATATGTTGTACAAACATATACGACTTTAAGACACGAAGTGGTTTGGCATGCGTAGCTGAAACATCACATTTCTAACTGTACCACACATTAGAAATAACTGTTGCTTTTCCTGACTTAATTTTTTTTCCATTCAGTTATAATTCACCAATAGCAAACTATATATAGCACCAACAGTGTTTCTCATAGAAAATGTAATTGGTGACACATGGTTGAGATTTGTAGTGTTTCCTGGTTTTTCAATTCTTTTCAGTGTACTACCCCAACCTGGTCATAAGCTTCATTGTGATAGATGTTTGCTTGACACCTACTTTGAAAATTTCCCCCTTATAGTTATGTCTGAGAAATGTCTTATTCTATTACAAATAGAATGTTATCCTCTAGAAAAGTGTTGGCAGTTATTGGGGCTACTGCGAATAAAAGCATCTCATAAAATCATTTTCTTAGCTGGGCATTGGTGGTGCACGCCTTTAATCTCAGCACTGGGGACGCAGAGGCAGGTGGATCTCTGTGAGTTTGGGGCTAGCGTGCTCTACAGAGCTAGTTCCAGGACAAACTCCAAAGCAATATGGAAGAACCATGTCTCAAAAACAACAAACAAACAAAAACCATTTTCTTTCTCAAGAGCCAAATAATAAGGTATTAATGAAATTAATCAATGTCTCTTTATTTTTTATTAAATTTATTCATTTATTTTATATCATGACTACAGTTTCCCCTATCTCTTTCCCTCCTTTTCCCTACTCCCAACTATCCCCCCACACACACCACCCCCAATCCACTTCTCCTCTGTTTCTGTTCATAAAGGGGCAGGCCTTCCATGGGGGTCAACAAAGCATGCTGTATCAAGTTGTGGTAGGACTAAGGAATGTTAAATATTGAAAATAATGTGTCTGAAAGACAACCACAGACGAAACTCGTGAGATTGAAGAACTGCAGTTCAAATTAATCACATGCCTCCGTTAAACATAAAAGTAGAGCTAGTTCAATTCTGTACATTAGAAGAATATGAGTTCTTGCATGCTGTTGTGGTAGAGGATCTGCTCATAGGAGGAACTGTATAATGATGTATTTGTGCACTGACTACACCTATAAATGTAGAATAAATTTTAAGGCAGAAAAGGAGGAATATGTTTTCTTACGTGTTATATTAGCTTTGTGTTTTCTATAGATTTGCAAGAACAAATGAGAAATGAAGAATCAGTCAGTGGAGTTAGAATATATGTTGCTTGGACTGACAGATGACCCTCACCTACAAATTCTGATTTTCCTGTTTCTGTTTTTCAATTACATCTTGAGCCTGATGGGGAACTTAGTGATCATCCTCCTCACCCTGCTGGATCCCTGCCTCAAGACTCCAATGTACTTCTTCCTCAGGAATTTCTCCTTCTTAGAAATTTCATTCACCACAGTGTGCATCCCCAGGTTCCTGACCAGCATTCTCTCAGGAGACAGAACTATTTCCTACAATGGTTGTGCAGCTCAATTATTCTTTGTATTCCTACTAGGAGTCACAGAGTTCTACCTCCTGGCTGCTATGTCCTATGATCGCTATGTAGCCATCTGCAGACCACTGCATTACCCCATCATCATGAACAGCAAAGTGTGTCACCTGCTGGTCATCAGCTCCTGGGTGACTGGGTTCTTAATCATTTCTCCCCCTATGCTCTTGGGACTCAAACTGGATTTCTGTGCTTCTGGAACAATAGATCATTTTCTATGCGACCCTTCTCCTGTGCTCCAGCTATCTTGTTCAGACACACATTTAATAGAAGTGATGATTTTTGTCTTAGCTATGATGACACTTATAGTCACCTTGATCTTGGTGATCCTCTCCTACACACTCATCATCAAAACCATCCTAAAGTTCCCTTCAGCTCAGCAACGCAGAAAGGCCTTTTCCACCTGCTCCTCACACATGGTCGTTGTCTCCATTTCTTATGGGAGTTGTATCTTCATGTATGTTAAAACATCAGCCGAGGAAAGGGTGACTTTAAATAAAGGTGTAGCTGTGCTCAACACTTCAGTGGCCCCTTTGCTAAACCCTTTCATTTATACCCTAAGGAACCAGCAGGTGAAGGATGCTTTTAAACATGTACTTCATAGAATCTGTTCAAAACAATGACACAAAGTTTAGACATAAAAAACATTCTGTTGATACATCAATGATAAAATAGACAGTAACCTTTTATTGCATTGGTTGTGATCTGAGCCATTTCACTCATGGAACACTTAAGTCAACATTACATTTATCCTGTCTGGATGCTTATATGGTCTTTTATTGCAGCACATCTTCCTAACTGAGGAATGAAAATGCCTTCTTAAAATAAGAATCTTAAATTCTGTGATTACATATAAATTTTCTCCTCATAACTATTTATGTTCTAAATTTCATTCAGTCAATTGAAACTTACTAGATTGAACATGTTAATAAGTTATTTTGCATTGTGGACATTATAAGAGATACAGCTATTATGTAATAAAATGTAACATAAATTTGGGTTATCGGAGCATGGAGAGATTTTGGTAATTTGAATGATTAATGTAACATTTCAAGAAGAAACATCACTTATGGTGAAGCCTTAAAAAAGTGAATAAGGAAAATATTTAAGAGTGCTGTGATGAGCTACATAAAATATGCTGAATAATTGGGACTGATGAAAAAAGATTCACCTGTACAAGTATGTCATTGAGAATATGGTCTTTTGTTAGCTAAATCAAGAAATAATATAAAAAATGCATAGATTATTTAATATTTGGTTTAAATGTGATTATTAATGAATCACACATACATGCTTACGTGGGAGAAATGTTTCTTTTGTGTACTTGAGGTGATGGTTAGAGACAGATAATGTCTCTGAATAAAACTGTGAACCTGTCTCCTAATGTTTCTCTTGCTTATATGTACTGATAACTTATAATTTTCATGGTTATGTTTTGTTCATGTAATAAATCAGATATTATTTTAAGATTTAAAATATTAGTAATTAAATTGGTTCATTAATAAAAAGAATACAAAAGTATAGATGAATTTTAAATACATGTTTAGTAAAAGATAGGAGGGTTAAAATAAGATAGACCTCATGGTTCCATCCCTATGAAGTTTTAGAAAAGTGAAATAAATACACACAAAAAAGAAGAGACCTGTCACTGTCAGTGTTTTTGAGGGTGATTTTATACAGTTGTGAAACTGGAAATTTATCTGAATAATGTGTTCAGATCTCCATAATTTTTGCAGGATGACAGATTTTGTTATAGAATAACCTCCACCTCATTCACCTTTTCAGAGATATGAACCACAAGAAAGGTCAATGACTGAAGCTGTAAGATGTTCCTCAACTCATTTTTGTGGGTAGTAGTCAAGAGAAAACCAAGTACGAGGTCAGCAAAAACCTTTAAAAATGTATGATTCTATCTCTACCTTCCAGAGAATAATGCATTCCTTAATCTAAGCATAAACTGAAATCAGAGCTGGGAACTGGTGGCACACACCTTTAATCCCTGCACTTGGGAGGCAGAAACAGGCAGATCTCTATGAGTTTGAGGCCAGCCTGGTCTACAGAGTCAGTTCCAGGACAAGCTCCAAAGCAATACAGAGAAACCCTGTCTCAAAAAAAAAAATCTAAATAAATAAATAAATACATAAATAAACCTGAGATCAGTCTGGACAACATTCCCTTCAGGTAGAAACCTGGACACAAAGAATCTGTTAGTGCTTGAGCTTTTCCTCTGACATGCCTATATATAAAAACCTTAGAAATGGATTTGGATCATTGAAGTGAATTAATCCTTTTTTTCACAGGAGTGGTTACCTATTTCATTCCCTGCTCCACTCCCCACCCCCATTTACCTGAGCTCTTTACTACTGCTCTCTGTTACCAATTAAAGGAGAAAGAGGCTCTTTTTATGCAACCGCTAGATTTGGGTCCGTGCTCCCAGACTTCAGAAACACCAGCTAACACAAAAGCATTTGTGTTATAAATTTCTTGGGACACCAACACAGCCACATACCTTCAACCTACAGGCTGCCCTGCCTGTGTGATTTGTTGAGGCAAGGGTGGCCTAAAAGTGAGGGAGTAGCCAACCAATGACTGGTCTAGCCTAAATCCCATGCTAGGAAAATAAGCCTGTCTTTGACACCACTGCCTAGAGCACCAGAATCCACAGACTGGATGGCCCAGAGAACTAGGATGGAACCAAACACGATTGGAGGGGGGAAATGACACTCTAAGGAAGCCTGTAGATTGGTGCCTAGCCCAGTTGTCATCAGAGAGGTTTCATCCAGCAACTGATAGAAACAAATGCAGACCCATAGCCAAACATTAGGGGCAGCTCTGGCAGCCCTGGAGAAGAGAGTGAAGGATAGGAGGGCAGGAGGCAGAGGGGTCAAGGACACTACAAGAAAACTCAGAGAATCAACTCACCTGAGCTCACAGGGGCTCACAGAAACTGAATCGACCACCAGCGAGCTTGCATGGGACTGACCTAGGCCTTCTGCATATATGTTACAGTTGTACAGTTGTGTGGCTTGGTTCTCTAAGGGAACTCCTAACAGTGGGAGTAGTGTCTGTCTCTGCCTCTTTTACCGGCTTTTGGGACCCTCTTCCTCATACTGGGTTGCCTTACCCAGCCTTAATACATGAAGAGGTACTTAGTCTTACTGCAACCTGACATGCCATGTTTTGTTGATATACACGGGAAACTGGCACTTTCCTCATCAGAAATGGAGGGGGTTATAGAGGAGGACAGAGGGGGGGGAGGTACTGGGTTGAAAGAAGGAAGGGGAAACTGTGGCCAGAATATAAAATAAATAAATGAAATAAAATAAACTACTCAGTCTTGAGTAAAACTACCTAAGGAAGTCCAACCTTACTGAAGTTTCATACATAACAATAATAGTTTTTTTTGTTGGTTTGCTTGTTTGTTTGGTTGGTTTTTTCAGATGCCTGAGCACTTATTAGAGTAATGTGCATTGGGGTCTCTTAGTTTATAGCAGTCTTTGAAGGAACATACATATTTTTAAACACTTTTTTTGTTTGTTTTGAGGAAAGCATTTGGAGAGCATAAAAAGCGGTATTTCCTAGGGAAGTGTTGATGTGGATCTCAAATCTCATGAGAATTTTTATCCTCTCTTGACATTTTCACTCAGGCAACATTGGGACCCCCCCCCCCAACATTATGACTAATTCATTATTTAGCAATGTGGGTAATAAGTAGAAAATTATTTAATACATGAGTAACTACAATGAGGTAAGGGGACCCTAGGCACTAGTCAATCTGAAATAAATAAGATAATGAAATCCGTTACCAGAGAATACTCACAGTGAGAAAAACAAAGCATAGACTCCTGTTTAGAGTCAGATGCATTCAGACTAGTGCCTATGTTCAGATCAGCATTATGACAGGATAGATAAATATGGACACTCAGATCACTTTGTCCAAGTATAGCTGTGTCTGCATTATTTTAAGGTATTGTTCATATGTTTCAAGTAAATGTCTATATTTTCAAGATTTTTTGACAAACTGATTTTGGCTAAATTTAAATATAACAATGCATGCTAGATCTATTGTAATTATTTTGTTTTGTTTTTAAGCATCAAGGTATTTTTATTCAGCTTTTTAAATGTTTACTCAGAGGAAAAGAAGATGAAGGCAGACCGTGTACTAACTTGAAAATTTAAAACTGGAAACCGTTTTTGTTTTTATATTAATTTGACATTCATGATTGCTTTTACTGGCTTTGGGGACCCTGCTCTTCATACTAGGTTGCCTGCCCAAGCCTTAACACATGGGGAGGTGCTTATCTCACTACAACTTGTTATTCCATGTTTTGTTGATGTCCATGGGAGACCTGCCCTTCTTCAACAGAAACAGAGGAGGGAGGAGTGGATGGGGCCAGGGACACAGGGGGTGAGGGGAGGGACTGCGAGGAGAAAAGCAAGGGGAAACTGGGGCAGGGTGTAAAATAAATAACTTTTCTTTTTCAAAAAAGGACTAGTAATAGGTTGAGAAATTTTTATGCCGAACAGTTCCTCTCAATACTTCAGATTCACTAACTTCTTTTCTTTTTTCCATTTCATGATTCATCTCTAAAGATCATTATCTCAATAGATTTCCCCATAGCTATATCTGGATACCCCTGACTCTAAAACCATATTCTATGTTTGCATTTTTGGTGTTTTTCTACACTGATATTAATTTATTTTCCTAGTTGCATTGTCAATAATGCCACCACAGAAGACAACCATGATAGTTTACTATTAACATTGGCTTTCCCATACAGTTCCCACTGATTTGATATTGTAGTAGAAAGTTCACAGAACATAGGGTGACAACAACAACAAAAGCAATTGAAATATTAACAAAATTGTACAGGAAAGCACTTCCTGGGCTTCACTTAAACTGCTGACAGAACACAGTCATGAAAGCAGTGATATGATTGAAATCCTTCAGCTTGATCAGTGGAGGTAATCGATGGTAGTTTTTTATACAGAAATACTGAAGATGCTATGTATGTGCTTGTGTGCTTATTCCTGTGCTTGGGGCGGCTGGGAGGTAGGGACAGAGAGGGGGGGAGAAAAAATACACACTGCTATGCTTCAGGTGACTTTGGTTTTGTATGCAAACTTTTAAGGTTTTATTCAAGCAAACATCTTTAATTGAGGAGAGAAAAGAAATACCATTGCAGTTTTAAGGCATAGCAAGTAAGAAAAAAAGCATTTTCAGTTCCTTTAATTTCCCTTTATGCATTCATATAAGCAAGATTAACACAGCATTATATAAGTTATTCACAAGTAGAATTATAAATTAATATCTTTGTTTTCTTCCCAAATGCCATGAAGCCATAAACTACTATTTTCCTGGTACAGCTTCCTTTAAATCATGGATGAGTACTGTGTTGCTGCCTGAAACCTTGTCTCTGCAGTGTCAATGGTACTGCAGCACCACTTATCACTAGTACAGTTCTGTATTCATTACGGCCCTCTACCCATATCTCTCACCCACTTAGACCAGCTAACAACCAGAGGTCACAATGAAGAACCACACAAAGGTGACAGTTTTCATCCTAGCAGGTTTGACTGATGACCCACAGTGGAAAGTTGTGTTGTTTGTCTTCCTGCTTCT